TGAACTGAAACAGCGACGTTTGAGCGTGTGAAGACCTTTGTGCGTGCTGAACGGTGACGGTAATGCCTATGTAAAAAGTGATTTCTGTACACGGTGTGACCAATAATAATATTTAAAAAAATATTATGGTTTCATTTACTCCCCTCGTATTTTTCAATATTTACGAACATTTTCCTAAACTCCTAAACATAAAACAAGCCTTAAATTTTATTTCATAGCGCTACTTCTCTAAATTTATAGATTGAAGTTAAGTTCATCTCCAAGAAGAAGTGAATTATTAAAACCCTGACTTTTTTTTAAAATATGCTACATTTTTTAAGAATTCAAATTTCCTTGAATTTAAAATTTTTTCCAAATTTTATTGCGATTATGTATCTGAAACCTGTGTCATTTCAAGGACCTGCTACAATATTTCCTAAATGTTATATGTGGGATAAAATTCAAATTTATTTTAATATTAATAATAATAATAATATATCTTAAAATAAACTATTTTGAATCTGCAATGAGTTTTACTACGGTATTAAAAGCTTGAAACTATCACAATTTTCGGTTTCGAAAAGGTTTTACCCCCCTTAATATTTAAGGACAGCAATGGATGCAATATTAATTAACTGATTATACTAAATAAATAAATATACTTTATGAGACAGAATTTTTCATTCTTTGAATCATTACTTTATATTATTTTAAATTGCTTCTCATCGGTTATACATTTAATAAATGCACAGATATAGGTACACTGCGAAAGGAAAAAAACAAAAAAAAGAGGGGGGGCAGTTCTATATTTCCCGCTCTACTGGGCCGATTGACGAAATTCAAATTGCGTTTTTCATGTCTAGAAAGCTCGATTTAGGGTATATATTAGACTTATATAACCTAAATACAATTAATAGCATTGTTTTAATATAGGTATCTTGGCACAAAATCGGACTTTTTCTGAGAAGGCATGCTGAAATTTTTCCACATTTCAATTATACGACTCAAATTATGCCTAAATAGTAAATTTTGTAAAATATGTGAAATTTACGGCGAAATTTAAAAATTTATCTTGGCGTATTTTGTTTAGTTTGCGCCAAGAATAATTCACTTGGCTAATTTCTTAATTTACAGCAACCTATTTTCATTTCCTTTTATTCACTGTACACGACCAGAAGGAAGGTCACTTTCATTACTTTCAAATAATTTTAACAAAGTGTGTAAACCACATTTGGCGATATTATCGCTTGTAACGAATATGCCAAATTTTAAAACGCGCCAAAATGTAAATTCACGTATATCGTAGGAAATTTTAAATAAAAACTCTATGTTTTTGCAGAAGTGCCTAGAGATATATCTACTTTAAGATGATGTTGAAGATTTTATACGTTATAATACAAAAGGTTTTTCGAAAAATTTATTAAAAGTATTTTAAAACACAAATTTTAAAAATAAATCATAAAAAGTAGGCGAATTTTATTTGGAATGAACGGAAATTTTGAAATAACAAAAGAAGAATCAAATAAGTTTAATAAAAAAAGAGATATTAATAAATATATATCAAATTTAATTAACATTGAGGCGCTAATTTTTTAAACTACTCGTGCGATTTTTAAAACACTTGCAGTTTGTCATAATTTGAGCCGTTTTGCGCAGTGTACGCCTAAGGTAAAAGTATACTTTAACTACGCTCAATTCGTCTTCACGTACGAGATAATTCACAATTTGTGTTACGTGTATTCTATCAATTTAAATTATTCAGTGCTTATCTTTGAGAAATTAATAAAGCATCAGAAGTTGTTATTGTTTTTGTTTTCGAATATCTGAAGTACGTTTTCCGGAAGTATTTTTTTGAATCTTGGGAACTCAACTGTTTGTTAACAAAAGCATTTAACATAAGCGCTAGGATATGAAACATACTCTGCAGTTTCTCTCATGTAATCACTGATGAAAGCAAAACAGCCATTTTTAAGAAGAGAAAATGGGTATTTTTAGCTAATTTGAAGGTAACTTAATTTTTTTAATTTGCTTTTATTTTTATTATGAAACGTTAATTTATTTTATAAGTTTCATGAATGTAAAGCCTTTTGCTATTTGTTTTAACTTTTTGGAATTCAAAACATTTTAGAATCATTAAGTGTATCGAAGGAACGTGAAAAATGTACATAGCCTTGACAGTATCCGAACTCTAGACCTCCGGATTTTCATTCGGGCGTGCTTCGAGTTACACAACAAAGGCATTCAGAAAGGGGGTAAGAAATACCATATAACTTCGTTTGTTTTTCTTTCTTATTGAATATTTCTTTAAAACTCAATGTCCGTAACATTCACGCAGTTCTATAAATTCTCAAATTCTCATGCTGCAAAACATAGCGTAAATACATTATAAGCTTACCAGCTGCAACATGTACATCCCTGCTGGCAATGGTTCCCATAACGTTACTAGCAGTGCATCTGTATGTTGCTGCATGGACGTCTTGCCTGTATTGATCGGCTCGGAAATGTTGGAAGACTAAAGATCCGTCCAGACGTACGTGGCGAAGTCCTGGAATATCAATGGCTGGTGTACCATCTTCGTTTTGCCATCTTATTACAGGACTGGGATTGCCAAATGCCGTGCAAGGAATTACAGCTCCGGAATTGTTTAGGAATTCATGGCGACTTGGAGGCTCGTGCAAGAATGTTGGACTTTGGCGATCTGTGGAATAAGTCTGACCTGAAATAAAAAAGAAAAGGTGGGAATTATGGAATAAATCACCATAACTATCGATATCTCCTAACGATGTTGAATAAATATTTGGAAATATATATAGAAAATAAAAACTGGATTCTGTATGTAAAATATAAATGGGATATCGATTTTAAAATTCAAAGAAAAATAACTATCGTAGTAAAATTTGTAGAGTCATCATATGCATTTTTTGAAGCAGAAGAAGAGAAAAATGCACTTTACCCTCGCCGAGACTTGAACCCTGGTCATCTCGAATACGCGTCGATTATGCCTCCAATTAAGCCACGAAGGTATTAAACCAAAAGGAGTGAGAAAATAATGTACATATTTCTCCCTTTCAAAGGGGACTGAGGATTAGGGGGATTCTCCCGCCCAATCCTGGTGATGACGAATTATCGTCCACCACTTTTTTAGTTCGGGCGCCATCGTAGAGACATTAGGATTTTCTGAAACAAGAGACGTGAAAAATGCACAGTTCTCTCGCCGGGACTCGAATCCTGGACCTCTCGAATACTTGTCGAGTATGCTTTCAGTGACATCACGAAGGCAAGTGGAAAGGAGAAAGAAAATACCTTACATATTCTACTACTTGTGCATAATCGTATACGTATGCTTATTTTATTTTTAAGAACTATGGGACAATATAAATTTTACTACGGCCCAAACTTTGGAGTTATCTGCAAAACATATACCTAAATCTTTGCGGTCTTTAATGTTTCCTAATCTTAAGTAACTTAAGCCTCAGGAAAATCGCATGCATTGATACTGTAGTCACTGATGAAGGGATAAAGATTGCTATCTTGTTTAGTATCTGTTAGCGCAATTCGATATTTTGCATAATGAAACTCGGTAATACCCTTGCCAAAGAAATATAAAACTGGCAAGCTCATACAAACTAGTGTACTATTCCCAACTTTTATTGCAGCATCAGACTTCAGTCTGCACCGAAATCTTGCAGGATGCACAGTGATCTAAAAGGATGATCTGGTAATTAATGCCCATAAGACAAGGTTACGATGTTTTGTAGAAATCTTTCAAACCATTTACCATATTCAGTGCTGTTATTTTTCTGAAATTCACAAAATTCTGTTTTCTTTTCATATTGAGTGTTTTTTTTTTTAATCTTAAATAGAGAACTACTGCCTTTTCTTGGTCCTGTGATAAAGATTATTATTCTTAACTCTTAATAGAATGTTTATTTGTTCGTATATCAGTATCCTAGTCTCTCCTCTTTTGTATTGCTACATAAATATTCACATCAATCATAAAAAAATTTAACAGCTAAATCAATGCATTTTCATTTTTGATAGTAAATGTATAATCTGCATAAGCTATATAATGAAATCTCAACTATTACTTATTAGGAAGGACTGATCTATTGGATAAATGTTTCTCTCCGTTCTTTTGAAACATTTAAATCATTATACTATTTAAAGAGAAACACGCTAATGGGGAATTTAAAATTAAGCAGAAAAGGTGGTTTAGCTTGGCGAAATTCTTTTTAGAAGGGAAAAGTTTTATTCTTGAAAACGAGGAACTTATGCGAGGAATTTTATTTTAAGGAGTGTGAAGTAACTATTTTTTTTAATTTTTTAGTCAACCACATGTATTCTTCTCTTCTAGCATACTAGATTCGTTCATGGATAAAAAGCAGTTTCATATAGAGAAGCATATTTCTGAAATAGTAAGATCTTTTAAACTTACCTCTTAAATGACAAAGCAAGAAAACTGCCTAAATTAAATAAATTCGTGCTTGAATGAAATTACATGGTGTGGTGTAGTGTTAATACTTCAACGGTGTGATGATGAACTCCAATGAAAACGCTAATGACGGAACATCACATGAAAATTTTATTGAACGCCCCCCCACAAAACGGCTACATACAATACAGAAGAGAAAAACCTAAATTTTTTCCTTCAAATCAAATTCTATACATTTTACGTGCGAGAGCAATTCGTGGCTCTCGAGCTTGCGTTTTTAACATTGCCAACGATTTAATTATTTTAATAAAGACTATTTTAACAACTATTGAAAACGTATTTGTAAGTTAAAAAAATAATAATTTTCAGCTTATGCTCACGAGACATCCTTGTCCATATAAATCTTCAGTCTCTTCTTCTTTTATGTAACCTTATCACAACTCCTCCCCTCATAAAGAAATTTTTCTTGACTATGGAAGGAAAAATTCTAAATACATTTCACTGCTTTCAAAACACAAGTGGTAACCATTTAAGTGATAATAGAGAAGCCAGTTACATTACCCTGCACTTATTTTCTAGATAACATAACCGCAATAAATACAACAAAATAATTTAAACTACTCCTAATGTCTGCCTTATACAAAGCCATATTCCTCAAATTTTACACAATGCTAATACTTAAGATAAAACATTTAATTCTAACAATTTTTTTTGAAAATGAAACACACAATGCAAACAATTTTGAATCTACACAAAATATAATTCCCAAAACTCTACAAAAATCATTTCACCCATTTTCATTACTTTTTACCTTACTTTGTATATCCACTAGTGATATTCAGTCACTAGACTAGGGCACGACTCAAGCCATCTGCATTACCGTGTAATTTGCCTGGCCTATGAACAATTTCAAAGTTGTACTGTTGGAGACACAATGCCCAGCGAGTCAAACGAGAATTGATCCCATCATTTTGTTTAAAAAAGTCAACGGATTATGATCCGTCTGGATCTTGAATTTTTGTCCGTCTAAGTAATGACTTAGTTTCTTCAGTCCATAAATAATGGCCGCTAGTTCTCTTTCAATGGTGCTATAATTTCGCTCCGCTTTAGTAAACGTTTTGCTAAGATACAGTATAGGGTGTTCCTCCCCATCCTGAATTTGAGACAACACAATACCCGCACCATATAAGCTGGCATCTGTCTGCACAATAAATTCTTTAGAATAATCTGGTGCAAATAAAACCGGACTTTTTACTAGTTTGGTCTTCAGTTTATTGAAAGCCTCGTCGCACTCTTTTGTCCAAATAACTTTTTTTGTTTTTCCCCTTCAAAGCGTCTGTCAAAGGTGCCGCAATACGGGCGTAGTCTTTTATGTACCTTGCATAGTAGCCCACAGTACCAAGGTAGCTACGTATCTGTGTTTTAGTAGTGGGGATCGGAAAATCTCTGATTGCTTGAATCTTGGCCTCACTAGGCGACCTTTTCCCAGACCCTACTTCATGACCCAGAAATTTCACATGGTCTTGTGCGAATTTGCATTTCGAGGGCTTAACAGTCAATTTAGCCTCCTGAAGGCGACCTAAAACCACATCCAAATCCTTCATATGCCTGTCCCAAGTCGGCGAAAAGACTGCGATGTCGTCAATATACGGTAGAGCAAAATTGTCCAGCCCTCCTAAAACTTGAGCGATCAAATTACAAAAACGAAAGGCGCATTTAAAAGCCCAAACATCATTTTCTTCGGGATGAAAGATCCAAAAGGGGTCACAAATGCGGCATACCTCTGTGCACGCTCTGTGAGTGGTATCTGGAAGTATCCTTTGGTTAGATCCATGATTATGATAATTGGAGCTGCGCTGACGTTTTCTACCACTTCTTCAATATTGGGAAGAGGGAAAAATTCTGTCATAGTTTTTGAATTTAATTTTCTGTAGTCTATGCAAGGACGAGGATCTTTACCTGGGACCTCTACTAAGATCATAGGCGAAGCATAATCAGATTGCCGACTTCTATGACTCCTAACTCAAGCAACCGCCTAATTTCCTCTTTAGGATGTCGGTTTGTCTCGCCGACATTCGATAAGGCCTGACTCTAACCGGAGTCTCATCCAACAATTTAATATCCATTTCGACCAAAAACGTACAGCCGGGGTCGGACGAAAACACCGCTCCATACTTCCTTATAACTTCTTGGAATTTTCCTATTTCCTCTGCCGAAGCTCTTTCTTCTAGCTTACTATCTCCAACTATTTTCCAAAAATCTACCTGAGTTGGATCAGCCAAGGGATAAGGAATATCCACTTCTCCCTCAATATCTTCCATGACCTCCTCCATCACAAGATTCACAAACTCGGGGCGCTGATAATAAGGTTTCATCAAATTTACGTGATAAATGGTGTCACTGCTACGCTTACCCGGAATCTCTACCGTATAATTGGTTTCGGAAATCACACTAGTTACTTTACCTGGCCTCTATCCAGTTCAGAGCCATTTTGTGTGGTTTAGACGTGGCTAAAACAAGCACGAGATCTCCGACCTTAAAAACCTTCTCGTAACAGCGTTGCGATCATACCAGAGTTTCTTTTTACTCTGACACTCTTTCATCCTCTCTACAGCCAGCTCCTGACACTTCTTTAATCTGTCTATTAAGTCTAGAACATACTCGACCACAGTGGGGTCTGAACTTTCTTCCTCTAGCCAGTTTTCATACACAATCGTTTGAGGCATTCTCAAATTTTTTCCATGTACTAACTCGCAGGGACTAAAACCTGTGCTCTCATGGCTAACAGTTCTGAGGGCGAACAAAGCACATGGCAAACATTCTTCCCAGTCCTTCCCGCTTTCCAAGCACAAAGCCTTCAATACCCTTTTCAAGGTGGAATGCAACCTTTCAACAGAATTGCTTTGAGGGTGACACACAGAAGAATGATTACACCTTAATTCCGAACTTGCTAAAAAACTCAGATGTAAGTTCACTGGTAAACGATCTACCCAAATCACACTGAATTTCCTTAGGGTAACCTGATCTAGAAAAGATTTGTATCAAGGCTTGAATCACACATTTAGAGTTTAAATTCTGTACAGGAATGGCATCTGGATATTTGGAAGCAACACAAATAGACGTAATTAAGTATTTATTTTCACGCGAACTAGGGATCAGAGGTCCTACTGCATCAATATTTAATCTGCTAAACACTTCTGATATAACAGGCACAATCTTCATAGGGGCTTTCTTTTTATCCTTATTGTGACCTACACGCTGACAAATATCGCACGTCCTCACAA